AAATTATATGCATTTATTTCATTGCTTGAGAGGATGGCTATTTAGTTTTGTTTGTTGGCCATTTGTATTTCCTCTTTTATGAATTTCCTGCTCATCTCTTCTAGGCCTTGTTCTATTGGATAATCATCTTTTCTTAACAATTATAGAAGTTCTTTGTAAATTACCTACATTTAAATGTTTCTGTCATATTAGGGGTGCTGGATAAAATACAGGACATCCACTAGGTATATATCCAGAAGACCAAAAATCACACTACAGCAAAGATATTTGTACCAGAATGTTTATTGCAGCCCAATTCATAATTGCTAAGTCATGGAAGAAGCCCAAGTGCCCATGGACCCATGAATGGATCAATAAATTGTGGTATATGTGCACCATGGAACATTATGCAGACTTAAAGAAAGATGGAGACTTTACCTCCTTCATGTTTACATGGATAGAGCTGGAACATATTCTTCTTAGCAAAATATCTCAAGAATGGAAGAAAAAGTATCCAATGTACTCATCCCTACTATGAAACTAATTTATAGCTTTCATATGATAGCTATAACCCAATTATAGCCCAAGAATATGGAGAAGGGGGAGAGGGAAGGTAGGGGAGGGGGGAGAATGAGTAGAGGGAGGGTGTTTGGTGGGGCCACACCTATGGTTCATCTTTCAAGGGTATATGTGAATCTTTCTAAATGTAGAATATAAATGTCTTAACACAATAACTAAGAGGGTGTCATAAAGGCTATGTTAACCAGTTTGATGAAGGTATTTCAAATTGTATATAAAACCAGCACACTGTACCCCATGACTGCCTTAATGTACACAGCTATGATTTAATAAAAAAAAATAAAATATAGGACATTCAGCTAAATTTGACTTTTAGACAAACAATGACATACTCAACACTAAAAAGTGATTCAAAATCTATTTAGAATTCAAATTTAACTGGGTTTGCATTTCTATTTGTTAAATTTAGTAAGCCCAGTGTCATAATATAGCAAATTTCTTTTTCAGTTTGCATTTACTTTTGAATTCTGTTTATGGTGTCTTTTTCCATAAATAAGTTTATTTGGATGTTTTATGATCACATCTATCAGTCTTCTCATTTATAGTTTCATGAATATTAATAATAGGCTTTCAGAATCCTAGATTTATGACAAATATTTACCTACATAATCTAATTATTTTTTGGCTTCACTTTGTTACGTTTAATATTTGATGGATCTGGAATTTATTTTGGTCTGGGGAAATGATGATTAGTTATTTCAGTATCGTTGATTTAAAAGTTCATCTATTCCATCAACCTGATGTGCCACCTTAAACACTGCATCACAAAATGATGTGAAAAGCCTCACAAAAATTTGGGGCTTTTCATCCTGCTGCACTGAACAATCATCTCTGGGTCAGTAACGTGCTGATTTTTCCTTTGTGCTAGAGGAAGTGTATGGGATGGATGTGGAAGCAGCCAGGTGCAAAGGTTCTGCAGCCACAACACCTGCATCTAATCTCTGGCCCCCCACTTCTAGCCATGTGACCTTGGGTGTGACGCCCTACTGTGCTTCCGTTTCCTACCTGGAAGTGGCAACAGTATCACTATTCTCCTCATAGGGTTGTCGTGATGAATAAAATGCACTAATAGAGGTAGAACACTTCCTTAAATAGTAAGCACTCAGTCAATGTTGTATTTTATTTATTTATTTATGCATGAGTGCATTTTTTCATTTTAATATCCAGCAGGGCTAATTTCCCTTATTTTCTTCTTTATCGGCATTCCATTGCCGGTTCTCTAATCTTCCACAAGACACCTAGACTCTTGTCAAGGTAAAGAGAAAATCCTACCGTGGAGATTGCATTGAATTCACAGATAAACAATGGAGTTACAATCTTGTCTTCTTCCTGCACCAAAATAAGGCTTATATTTTATTTTTATTCTTTTATGGTATGTTATGGTAACTTTATTTATTTATTTATTTTATTATTATTATATCATAATTGTGTACATTAATGCATTCATGGGGTACAATGTGCTGATTTTATATACAATTTGGAATGCTTGGAGGAGTGGCTAGAATGCCAAGCGGGGGAGGCAGGAGCCGAGGCGTGAGCGGGATTGGTGTAGACACCATGGCTGGGATCACCACCATCAAGGCAGTGAGGCGCAAGATCCAAGTTCTGCAGCAGCAGGCCGATGATGCAGAGGAGAGAGCCGAGCGCCTCCAGCAGGAAGTGGAGGGAGAAAGGCGAGCCGGGAGCAGGCCGAAGCTGAGGTGGCCTTCTTGAACCGCAGGATCCAGCTGCTTGAAGAGGAGCTGGATCGTGCCCTAAAGCGCCTAGCCACTGCCCTGCAAAAATTGGAGGAAGCGGAAAAAGCTGCTGAGAGAGTGAGAGAGCTATGAAGGTTACTGAAAACAGGGCCTTAAAAGATGAAGAAAAGGTGGAACTCCAGGAAATCCAGCTCAAAGAAGCAAAACATATTGCAGAAGAGGCAGATAGGAAATATGAAGGGTGGCTCGTAAGTTGGTGATTATTGAAGGAGACTTAGAAGGCACAGAGGAAGAAGCCAAGCTGGTGGAGTTCCCTTGCTGAGATGGATGAGCAGATCAGACTGATGGACCAGAACCTGAAGTGTCTGAGCGCTGCTGAAGAAAAGTATTCTCAAAAAGAAGACAAATATGAGGAAGAGATAAAGATTCTTACTGATAAACTCAAGGAGGCAGAGACCCGGGCTGAGTTTGCTGAGAGATGGGTAGCCAAGCTGGGAAAGACAATTGATGATTTGGAAGATAAACTGAAATGTACCAAAGAGGAGCACCTCTGTACACAAAGGATGCTGGACCAGACTCTGCTTGACCTGAATGAGATGTAGAGCACCCAGTCCTGCCCTTCTGCAGGCTCTCCCTCCGACCCTGACTCCACCTGAGGCCAGCCTGCCTGAAGCTGACCTTTAAACTGAGGGCTGATCTTTAACTGGAAGGCTGCTTTCTCCTTTCGCCACCCCCTCCATCCCCTGCCCACCCTACTGCCATGTCTTTTTCACCAAACTGACTCTGTCTCTTCCCAGAAATTCCAGCTGGGCTAGAGGCTGAGCATCTTTGGGAACAACATTTAAGGGAATGTCAGTACAATGCAAAATGTCTTTAAAAGCATGTTGTGATGTACACATTTTGTAACTACCTTTTTGTTGTTGTGGCAACCATTTGTAAAACATTCCAAATACTTCCCCAGCTCTTGAAGCAGCAGTCTAATCCCTTTCTCACTTTTGGAAGATGACTTTTCAGCTTAATGCATATTGCCCTCTTCTTAGAAGAGGGGGAAAAGGTCTGGGCCTGCCTTACTGAGAACCAAACAGAGCCCAGGGAGAAACTCCCCTACAGACAACCTCACTGCTCTGTACGAAGTACCAGCCAAACCAGAAAGGTGATCCCAGGAGGAGTTAGCCAAAAAAAAGAAAACATCAAAAACATGCTGTTAAGGTTTTTAGCTTTAAGATATCTTTGGACAACTTTTATTTTTTTCATTAGAAGTGACCAAGTTAAGATGGTAAGACCTTTGAGACCAGATTTTTATCCTGTCTCTACCCCCTTGCCAACGACTCAGAGAATGGATCATGTGCTCCTTATGTTGGGTGGACCACATAATTGCTCTCCTGCCTTCTTAAAGAAAATTATGTTTTTGCCACTAATTTACCAATATGAAACTCATCTTATTACCCTTTTCTGGGTCCGAAGCTGCTATGTCTAAAAGGGCCATCTCCTTGTACTTTGCATTAGTCTGTGCTGGAGAAATCTTGAATAGCTCATGTACAAGACTTTGAATATTTTATATTATTTTGAAACCTTGCTTCATTTGGTTTGGGGCCCCCTGGCACCCCATCTGGCTGTGAGAGCTCTCTACAGTCTTTGAGCTGGCAGTGTACTGAAAACCTTTTAAAGTTTCTTTCCCTGCCCAGTCCCCACATTTTGGTGAGGCTTCTGTGAGTGAGGCCTGGTAGGTGTACACCTGCAGCTTATTGGCTCAAAATGTACTCTCCTTTGGTGTGGTGTCTTTGGGACCAATAGGGAGAAAGAGAAAACCAGTAGTGCAACTGTTTTGATACTGAATATTGATATGTGTCTTTTTGAAATAAAGAACCAGTCCCTCAAAAAAAAAAAAAATTGGAATGCTTACATCATACTGGTTAACATAGCCTTCACCTCACTTACTTAATTGTTGTTAAGACGTTTATTACTCTATAAATTTGACATGTACCCTTGCAATATGTACCATAAAGAGCTAAGTCTTCTTTAGTCCCCAGTACGGAATAGAAGTGGGTTGTTTGTTTTAACAATACAATATATTCTCTGATAAATCTATATTCCTAGCTGTTTATGGTTTTACTGAGAATGGGATTTTTCATTCACATTTCTAACTGGCTAGTCGGTGCACAAGAACACTGTTGCCCAGACACGTTAATGTGGTAACCTGTCAGTTCATTGGAAAAGGCTACTATTTCACTCATTCTCCAGTTTGAACTTTCCGACTAGACGATGACATCCACTGCAAATAGCAATCGTTTTTCTCCTGCTTTCCAATTAAATATATATACATATTATATATTTAATTTTTTTAAGGCACAACTTCAGTATTTTTACACCTTATTTCCTTCTCTTATCTAATTGCATTGACCAGACTTTCCAAACTGGTCTCCTGGTCTTGCCCCTGCCTCTAATGGAAATACTTGTCTGGCTAGTAAGCATAGTGCAGGCTTTGAGACGGTTGGATTTTTTTTCTTCTTTATAAACGATAAAGGGAGAGTGTGTGAAGGGAATGGTTTTGAAGAGCATGTGTGAATTGCCCAGATCAGTTTGTGCGCTTCAAGAGCTCTTGGGTCCCCTTCCCGCGCTGCCAACGCTCTGCCCCGGGGGCTGAAGTTTCTCTCTGCGTTTCCGCTTGAACAGCGTCCAGCTGCCTCGCCTTTAAAATGCCAGGGCGGCCGCGGCTCTGCTCAGAGCCCCCTCTCGGCTGCCGGCCCGGGTTCGCTCGCGCCGCTGGGGCGCTGACTCAGCCGCAGCCCGGCTGCTTCCGCCCAGCCGGGCCCGGGCAGCGCCCCCGGCGCCCTGCGCGCCCGCGACCCCCGCGCCTGGACGCGCCTCAGCCCGCGGTCCGCGGCCGCCCCCGGCTGGGCGCCAGCCGGGCCGGGACTCCGCGACCGCACGGGACGGGCCTCGCCAGGTAAGGACTGCGGGAGATCCTGGGACCCGCGGCTGCGGCGCCTGCCGGGCTGGGGTGCTGCACAGTGGGCTGCCAGGGCGTCCCGCGGGTCCCCAGCAGCCGGGCCGGCTTGGAGGATCGGCTCGCCAAAGTTAGGCTGAGCCCCGCCGAGGCTGTTAGGGGACCCGCGTGGACACGGGGCCAGCTCGGCTGGAAGGGCTGGAGCGGCGCGGCTGCCTCGGTGGGAGCAGCACCGGCTCCGCGTTGCAGCAGCCCCAGATGCGCTGCGGGGCTCTGGGCTCGAGAACCCGAGACGCGCGACACCGCGTTCGGGCGCGGGCGCGGTACTGAGCCATCACCTCCCGGTGTGGGGATCCTGGCCCCTTCGAAGGGCATGAGGGATGAGATTTAAAACTGAATCAAAGTTAGCAGTTCCTTCCTGTCGAGTTCAGCGCTTAACCCTCGAGTTCAGCGTTCTTGTGACCGACAGTAATAGAAGTGCTATTTCTCAGTGTACCTGATGAAGGTCACAATTGATGTAACTTCTGGGCAAAGTTCTGTTGGTGGCAGCCTTTCTAAAGAAACGTCACGGATCGGTTGGATTTTGTCCTCATCTATGCCAAAAAGCTTAATCCAAGCTTTCAAATATTTTTTCCATTGTCAGTGGAGAAGTGAGAAATGATTCTGGGAATGTTTGGGGGAATGTGTTCTAGAACTTCATCTGACAGTAGAGTCTCTGTTGCCCACGGGGAAAGTTCTGGAAAGGACACTGTTAATCCAAAGTGGTGCGCCTTCTCGTTAGATGCACAGTAGTGTCAGAACAGCCTGGGAAAAAGTCCCACGGCGGTCCCCATGCTGTTGTCACTGGGAGCAGTCTGAGCAAGGTCCTCATTAGCCTGTGGGTTTTCCTGAGCCTCCCAGGATTCCAACCAGATGAAATCTTACTCTTCACCGTCAAATATACATCCAGTGAATTAGGAGATCTGGTCCCAGAGGCTCTGGAGCGCAAGTCTTCCGCACTCCCTTCAGCCACATTAAGAGCTCCTCTTAAGATAAGCTGTAATGATCTGATTTGTAGTCTTTGTGAACCTGCAGAGTGGGTTTAGAACATCATAAAGCCAGAACACCCAAAGCTTTAGATGTGATTTATACATTGGATTTTGATTAAGGCAGTATTTTCAGGGATGGCTCAGCATGAAGTGTATACCAGTTTTAAAGACAAATGTGGAAGAAAAAACCTTACCTCCTTAGGAAAAAAACTGTTCTGAAGCAAATGGTGACATTTATCCAAAAGAGAAATTGTGGGAAGCTGTTCATTTATCTGTGTAAGCTTTGCATTCATATATTCTTGTTCCAAAGGATTGATTTCCCAATCACTTTTTCCAGTAATACTATTCATTATTGTATTTATGAACAAAATGCAAGTCATAAGTGCATGAAGTATAATGTGTCTCTGAACTCAAAAAAGTGTGGAAAATGTAGAAAATGTCTGGCCATTACATGTTTAAGATGTAAATTTAAAATAAACAAGGTTATGGGGAAGTGGGGATATTTTAAAAAATAATGTGAATCTTACTCAGCCTGAAAAAATTAGCTCAAATGGAAGTCAGGTTTCTGCTTGTAATTTATGATATAAAGAACTGTGTATCTTTTCAGTTTATTTTCTTGCTGGGTTAATGATAGAAGCAGCCATTCTGAATATATTGCCTTGCTAGTTAATCTTTCTCCCACAAATATTTACACTACCAGGGCACACTATCATAGCACCGGCTCAAAATTTGCAGCCCTAAGGTGGTTTGTTTGTAGCAAATTGTTCAAATTCAATACTATTTCCATGACTTAAATGGAAAATGAAATGATATCAAGGAAAATGTCCTTAAATTATCCTGTCTGGCCACAATAGAAAGAACAGTGTTTACAGAATTGACAGGGTTCCAAGACTCTGAGGTTACATCTTCTAATAAGTTCTAATGTAGAAAAATAGACCACAATGGCTCTGAATTTTGGCATTGAAAACTCTGGAACTGGACCATGTGAATGAATTTTTAGATAACTAATGTTCACTATTAAAGGTGACAGCATGTTCCACTATTTAAACTGCTTTGAAAGGAAATATTTCTAAAGTGTGTTATGTGCCCTCCACATTCAGAGAATTGGCTAATGGGAATTTGTGTGTTTCCTGATGATTTGGGATCTACTCGGGGATAATCAGTTATCCAGTGCACATAAAGGGAGAAGGAACCCAGTCACTGTGTCAGACAGATGAGCATTTAGTCCTGGCTCTGCCACTGTCAGATGACCTTAAGCAAGTTGCCTTTTTGACCTTCAGTCTTCTAACTTGTAAAACCCCAGGGTAATAAATACCTTAAATTCAGTTCCATTTATTAAGCTCTTACTATGTACTGAACATTTTTATATCCCATTATTTAATTCTCAGAGTAACAATTATTATCCCCATTTTCCTGATGAGGCAATTAATGATCAGAGAAGCTACTGGAATTACCCAGGATTAATTGAGGTGGGAGAACTGGTATCTAAAGTGGGACCATCTCATTTTGAAGGCTATGTTCTTCTCACCTGTGTTGTGCCTATTTCATGAGATTGCTCAGAGAGAAATATCTTTGATAGAGCATCAACATACCAAAAAAAAGTAGCTTTAGTTCGGCACCCATAGCACAGTGGTTACAGCACCAGCCACATATACCGAGGGTAGTGGGTTCGAACCCAGCCCGGGCCAGCTAAACAACAATGACAACTGCAACAAAAAATAGCTGGGCACTGTGGCAGGCGCCTGTAGTCTAACCTACTTGGGAGGCTGAGGCAAGAGAATCTCTTAAGCCCAAGAGTTTGAGGTTGCTATGAGCTGTGATGCCACAGCACTCACTGAGGGCAATAAAGTGAGACTCTGTCTCAAAAACAAAAGAAAAAATTAGCTTCACTTAACTATGATTAACAGCTCCACTTTGTCAGGATTAAATTAAATGAGAATTCATGTTTGGGCCCTCTGTAAATGGTTAGAACTCTATCAGTTATCTCCTGGAAGCTCCTCCCTGCCCCTGAGACTCAGTTTTCCCATTTATAAACATAAACTCAGAGAAGTATCACCTTCGTTGCTGGATTGCTGTGGGAATCATAGTTGAAGGATGCAAGAATTAGCACATAGTGGGTGCTTTACAAGCACCCTTGTGAACCTTTCCCTTCCATAGTCTGCTCCTGTCACTTCACAGTGGACATTGGTGCTCAGTAGATTTCCTCTTTGTGTCCTGGACGTACCCAGAAGGGTTCCTCCTGTGCCCCAGTGACTGTGATGCTTCAAGCCCCTCCAGATGGAGCCCACTTGGGAAGACCTAGGAAGACAATGTCATTGGTGGGAAGGATTGGGTGGGAATGCCTACCCCCAGGATCCTCATTCCACCACTTATCCCGAGAGCCACAGGCTTTTCATAGACCCCTGCTGCACAGAGGGGCTTCCATGCAAACGAGCATCCTCCAGGGAAGCTTGGGCCTCAGGCCCCCTAGTGGTGTCCTGCCTTGGTGCTGGCTCAGGACTGCTTTTGCCCCTCGCTCAAGGTCTAGTATGAAAGCAGAACTATGCCTCCCTGGCCCTCTGCTCAGGGCCACAGCATCATCCTGGTCCGCAAGTTGTTCCCAATCATGTAGCAAGAACAGGCCAAGACAAAGGAATGAAAAAGAAGGGCACTTTCCCACTTAAACTAGAGCTTCTCAGGCTTTCCCACTGAAACTTACAGGTGACATAAGATATCACCCTGGGGTCTCAGTAAATGGCCTCAAGGCACACATCTCATATTCAATATAGAGTTTAGACTCTGTCTTTATGGGAATTTTGTATTCTTCCCTAGAAGATCTGACTCCTAGTGTTTGGCCCCATTAAAACCCTGCAGCCTCCCACAGTGGCATTCCATCCCCGTCCTGAGGAAGGATCACTGAGGTCAGAGCAAGGTCATAAAGTCAAGACAGGGAAGTGTGCTGCCACTCCTGCAGTCCAGGCTGGTGGCAGATGTGGGTAACTACAACACAGTGTTCTTCCCATGGACATGAACTTTCACACTCAGGTGGCCACCATGGGTTGGCCAGAGGTGACAGGCACAATGACACCTGTTTGTCATTTAGAGGTTGACATTGATAGCCAAAAAGGGCCCTGTGCTGCACAGCCTTTGTCATCAGATCCAGCTCCTCTGGCTACCCTGACTTCTCTGTGGCTCACGTGGAGCTCCCTGTGCTCTAGAAGACTGCAAATAGATGGCATGCATTTGTCAGACTCCTTCTCTGGCTTAGAGTAGACATTTGCTAATCAATCATGGTACTCCTTCCCATGGAGCCAGAATGAGGCCTCAGAATCTTTCTCAATAGTTCCCTGGAGTTGGCTCCAGAAATGGTATTCAGTTGGGTACCACAGACAATGAGAAGACACTGAGGAGTTTTAAGCCAGGGGAATAATGTAGCCTTTCCCCATGTACCTTTCCTTCCCTCCTCACCTGCCTCCTCTGCCCATGCTATAAGCCACAGGGGCATCTGTAAAAACTACCCCTATGAGCCAAATATGCCCCAAGACTCCCATAACAAATATAGGTTACCCTGACACAGTGCTGTTAGGCCCAAGGGAACACACCTGTGCCCACATGGGCCTGCCTTCATTCCACCAGGTGTGACTTAGAGAGCAAGGACATCAGAGAGAACAAGACATGAGACGTGATTGGTTTGTGTCTGAGAGGAAACAGTTCAGGCTGGCACAGCATTGAGGCCCCATGGAGGGGGAATAGCTGCAAGCACCAGGTCCATGGAGAAAATGGGTTGGACCTGCCGTGCACGTCCCCGTCAACAGTATGGCTGTTCAGCTTCTAAGACAACCTTCCACTTGGAAAACAGTCTGTTGCCTTCAGTGTTCACGGATGTTTTGGAGGGGTGCTTGTCTTTAAAGGGTCAATAGGTTTAATAAATGGACATTCTGGATTCAACTCATGGAGCAGAATTGTTCAGTGATAGTCAAAGCATGTGTTCCC